TATCAGCTACCATAAGATAATTATTTTTTCTTTTAATGTTGTTTGTTCCCTTCTTATATTAATATATATATATATATAAGGTTAATTTCAATTGGATTGTTTAAATTTGATATCATTTGGCCTTCTTCATTTTTTTATCTTTGTTGTAGGTGACACCCAATTTTGTCCAGGAACTTTCAATGTAAATAATGTATGCGCAAACATTGATTGTGGAGACTTGGCATTGATTCATTGGCCCGCAAGTTCGATGCCTCATGCTTGCTCATGTGAAGCTGATGGAGAAAACAAAAGTGTTTGTACTTGTGAAGTTGCTTGTTGATCACACAAACTATATCTTCTATAGATATGTTTGTTTTCCAATATGTTTTTGAGAAAATAAAGATGATTAATAAGAAAGAGTATTGACTTAAAAATATTAATTTATTGAATTGAAATTTCATTGTGATATTATAAACATCTTATTATTGGGGTTGACACATGAATTAGATTTTGGAGGTTTTTACATCATCAATGCCACATTTACAGTTGAAGTATACTCATTTTTTTTAGATTCAATTATTAAGATTGATTCTTGTTGTACACACAAAAAAAATGTACACTTTATGTATATTCGCATGTGTACATATACAATTTTTGTCTTTTTCTAAATAAGCTGACTATATACACATATATACTTTTTGTGGCATTTAATAGGAGCAGAAACTGCGACACTTGTGATGTAAAAACCTCTAAAAAAGGAACTAGTAAATCGATGTGTTACAAAAAGGATGACAGAAAGAACATATCTCTATATAAGTAACTTTGATTAAGTTAATAAACTCATACTATTACTTTCAATTCGCTGAATTGAGTCTTACATAAAATCGAAATCGAAATCGATGTGTTACAAAAAGGATGACAGAAAGAACATATCTCTATAAAGTATGACTCAATGTCATCACTGATAAGAACTTAGGTTTGAAATCGAAATTTTAAGACAAAACTTGATAATATTTTAGTAAATACTTTGCAGCTTCGAATGCTCTGTATTAGTTCAATGATGTATTTAAATAGTTGCGGTATGAATTTCTAATTTTTTACAGTATATTTTTTTTTATTGATGATGGTTGGTACTCCATATTATTTAACGATTCGAATATTCTATGCATTAATAATTGAAAAAAGTAGATGTACACCAAAAAGTGTACACTTTGTGCATAAATCCTCTCTAATGGTTTGTGTACACAAAAGTTCATTTAAGAAAAGTCAACAGTAGTTTGTGTACAATCATTTATTTTAAGTCATATTTTACTGAAAGTGTAGACATACTAAAATTGTCTGTACACAGACGAATATATTAAAAAGTGTACACTCATACACGTGTCTATTTCCATGAATGTTACTAAATTAAATTCAAAAGATAAAAGTATGACTCATTTTAAAATTTTCCAAAAAAATGACATATTGGGTGATTAGTTCCTAGAGACTCATCATCCATCGGTGACTTGTCATTCCCAAATAAGCTACAGTGATTCTTGTCCAGTTACTCATACATAATGACTGGTCATATTTTTGTCAAAAACATAATTATTCATATTTTTGTCTCACAAAACCTGAGTAGTAATATACATGTCATTTAATCTTATTACTATTTGGTAAAGGGCTCCGGCGAATAGAGTCCGTTTGATAGTCTCTATTTTGAACTTACGAGTATTAGTCAACTTTATGCACAAGTACGTCAAACATTTAACCTTTCAACCCTTCATTTTGCATGTTGAATTGTATAATAATCTAAATAAATACGTATGTGGTTACTTTTCTCCTAATTTTATAATAGAGGATCATTTTAAATATTTTCACCTAATTGTTTCTCTATTTCGAAAAAATATTTTTTAAATCTAATTTTTTCATAATTCAGTACATTCAACCAATTCGATCAGTTTTTTCATCCAACATTTAATCAATTTCAATGTTTTTAAACGACCTCTAAATGCAAATTTGTAGATGTAAAATAGAGAATAGGAGGCGGTGATGATATCGTCCAAACGGAAAGACGACACTAGATTTATTTTTCTGAACTGAACAATATAAAATTAAAATCTAATATTTTGGAAACTGGTTTAATTATAAATAGTCGGATTTCTTATGGTGTTTGGGCAAGAGTTATGGGGGGAAGGGGGAAGATGGTGCTATGTAACAACTTGGGTGTGAAATTTTTCGTTTTAAAAAACGGATCAAAGGCTACGAGACAATGTCAACTACAACGTTTCTCTAACATTTATGTTATGATGGAAATTGAGTATACTCGGCTAGTAGGTGAACAAAGGACTGGCTTTGGTTTCTAGACCCGCTTGGGTTCTTGAATGTCTTATTTGTCTCTTATTCAGGACTACCTTTTAGTTTTTCTAGTAGCTCTAGATTTAAGGAATGAACCGCGTTTGGTTATTTTCACTTTGTTATTGTTTTGGTTTTTCATTGTAATTACGGTTCTTATCTAATTGAAGACTGGGAATATAAAGAGTCAAGATTGGTCAACGGATCATATTGCTTTTATATGGGTTACTGATCCTATGTCTGAATTTAGGGTTAGTAATAGTGTCATGATTTTTTATTGGCTGTATGTCTTTTTCTTTTTGAATTTTTGAAATGTACTGCGCTATTAATATCATTAGGAATCATATCGTTACAATAAACTCAAAAAGATCAACCCTGACACCAACAATCCCTAACCAATTAGCACTTTCAACCCTACGACTAGACTCAGAGACGATCACCCCCGAAAGAGCAATACGAATCGCTAACCACCAAGCGAGTGTGACATAGTAATCACTGGCTATATAGATCCTTCTAACAACATAATGTCTGGCAGAATTGTCAATCATAAGGGAGTGTTTGCAATTGCTTCAACTTTAAAAAAGTGATTTTTTAAAGTGATTTTGGGAAAAGTGATTAATTGTAAAAGTTGGTAGTGTTTGAGAAAAAAGTGATCCTGAAAAAGTAAAAGTTGGTAGTGTTTGGTAAAATAAGTACTTTTTGTGTAATAGGAAAAGTGAGAAGCAGTTTAAAGCACCATTCTACTTGCTTCCAGTTTTTAGCTTTTAAGTGATTAATTTAAGCAGAAGCTGTCATTTGAAAACACTCTTTTCAGCTTTTTTTAAGCCAAAAGCTAAAAAGCGTTTTTTTAAGCAACCTCAAACACTCCTTTATAGACCTAAAATTAAAACTAACAACATAAAACATAACGCGAAAATAAAACTATAAAAATTTTAATAACTTATAAATCTTCCAAACCCTAGCACTTCTATCGCTCCAAGGCTGCGGTTCAGGAGGGGGGCGGACCGCAAATATGTTTTCTCTCTTGCTCAACCCACCGCCGCCCTCTATCCATGTTGATTTGCCAGAAACTAACCCTTTGACCTCCTCCTCAATTGCAAGAATGAGATAACACTGCTCAAGATTGGGTTGTATGTTTTCGAGTTCAATTCCCCAAAGTGATTTAATATAAACTTTTTACCAAAAAAAAAAAGAATCTAGAATTGACTCGACATAAAACACCTTTGACTGAAGTCACTGAACGCGTTGAAATAATAGAACCAACAATAGGAAATGCTAGAATAACAATGGAATAGAATGCTTGAGACTAAATTTTGTAAATTCCAGCTGGGAAAATGATGATCATTATGCAGGTGTTTGTCAACTATTTTTATGATGCAACCTCACTGTCAAAACCAAAAAGTCGTCATTACCAAAGTAAATATCGTTTATTGCCTAGACGTGAATGTTCAATCTTTTTTTTGGGGAAAGACCTCACCAAACATTTTACTTTAGGTCAAAAGATTTTGAAGGTTTTAAAAAGAAAGCAGTTTGACCCCATGTAGTTTCTCTTGTATGAGAGGGGTTGACCTGAAAGTGTCATTCAACAAACGAACTTTCTTCATTTCTTGGGTTTTACCTACAACCCTATCTCATACTGTTATACTCCAACAAAACACCCAGAAAGAAATGATTCCAGAAAGACTTGCATTCATTTCGAAACTCAATTCACATGCCCATGAACCCATTTTCAAGCCGGTGAAGAAAGCTTTAGTAAGAAGATGCCCAAAGACTTGGCTGTAATAAAATGATCTCATTCATACCATTTTCTTTAGGCTTTATGCCAATTTATACAAACTGAATTGAAATAACTATGCAACTATAAGAACAGAGTCTGTGCACAACTGCAACATTCTCACCAGCAAGCACTTCCTTTATATAGGGATACTAAAGCAAAAACTAACTAAAATAGAGACATTGATACAACAACCAAATTATCCTGGTGCCGCAAGGGCTTCCCACCTATGGTGGATAAGGGGAGTCGGATGTTAGCCTTCTTACCCTGTATTAAAGCACAGAGAGACTGTTTCCGGATGACTCTCGATGAAATCGGGCCGAAAATTTCATGGGCAAACTTTTGCTCTATAATAAAGAGGCGTAGGCAATTAGTAGTCAACCCCCGATTGCAGGGCATAAACATGTATGTTTGGATCCAAATAGTTTTGGTTGTCTTGCACTGTCTCTTGCTCTAGCATAGCTCACCTATGCTTGTATCACCGCTCATTATCATAACTTTTATAGAAAATCTTTTACACATAATTTATCAAAATCGGGGGTGGGTCAGAGTTTCAGATTGGCCCTCCCCTACCTACATGTTAAGCGCAATTTGTCCATAGTACTACGCTGTAATTAATAGAACCAGGTTTTGGGGATCAGGTCATAAGAGTTCATCCACAGCAACCAAGGGCTCCACACATCTTGCCCTTGAACATTGACGAGGAGTTAAATCAAGATATACACTTCTGGTCAGAATGGTTTTAATTGATTGATGCCATTTGCAGGAATTGATCCGTTGAGGCTTAGCGTCATTTGCATGAATCGATTCTCGGGTGACCTTTTGGAGAGGGATGGGAAGGACCAAAGAACTACTCATGTATTCACAATGCAAGGGAAACTAGAAAAAGCTGTACAAGTAGAGAATAAAATAACACGTTTGTATGAAAGACTAACATATTCATGTCGAGGCGGTCGGAATAGGGTAACCACCATCTTATTGAATCTTTTTACAGGTTTTAACAATGGTCATCGTAATCCACAACCCTATTGGTTGAATCAAATTATTGAATCAATACACCAGCAATTTGGAACATTCAATATACTAATGATAAATATGAACATACATTATACGTAGTGCTAAATACTAATGATAAAAATGCAGAATTAATAAATACTACATGCTACTAAACTAGGAGGCCGAAATGGCCCTTCAGGCTGGAAGATGACTACTATGTCCTTTTTTGCAAGCATAGCTCTCTTTGTCATGGAGGATAGTGTAGTTTGAACTGTCAATATCTCTAGAGTAGCAAAAAGAATCTTCATGATAATGGTATGCTTGCTGGGTACTCCCCAACCCACTGACAACCAAATTACCCTTCACCAGCATGGATCCCTGCCCTTTCTGTAAATTCCTGAGAGAACTAGTGGAAAATCTTGAACCAGAAGATTTGATCCTCTTTTCATTGAATCCCAATGTTACATTTGCCAAAGAAGAATATGATTTATTTCCTTGAACTATTTGATCAGAATGCATATACACATAAAACTTCTTAGCAGATTCAAAGGACTGAATAGAAGAAGATGACTTCTTGAAATAAACAGCGTCCTGGGAATTAATTGTCTGATTTACAATCTGCATATTCCCTTTATTCCCCATAATCATAAAACTGCTATACTTGAAGTCTTGAACTGCTTTGGTATGAACCACTCCATGAGATGAATTCACCCATCCAGTAAACTGTATGGTCCGATTCGACTCTGTCAGAAAGGATCCATTTAAGCCAGTGAAATTTGACAACTGAGAGAAGGAAAGAGGGAAGCTTTTTTGTTCTATGAGCTTCCCTTCTGTTTTCTCACTATTGCCATCCAACCAAAGATGCAAGTTTGCATCAATATACCAAACATTAAGAGCATTTGTGACACTGAATGAGATCTTGTGACTCTTCCCATCTAATAACAGCCCTAACATGGGAGTTATCTCGATGTCATACGAAGGAAGATCAAATGAACCAATAGCAGTAATGGGTCTCCACAAGAGAGGATTTACGCCTCCGGTATAAATCACAGTGAAGGGCCAAACTGCTCCCACTACTTCACCATCCAGACTGACAACAACCTCTCTAAATGGTCCATTCCCAGATAAGGAATCACTAAGGTTATTTGCAGCTATGTAATCGTTAGGAGGGTTCCCAAACCAAAACTCATCATTTTCATGAAATGACACATATACCTCCAATACAGCCCTATAAGTATTTTGAGGAATCTTGACCTGCTGTGAGGAGATGTCCGTTGAATTCTGGATCTCAAACCACAACCCATCATTCAAGGGCAAGTTTCTCGAAACTGGAAGTATCAAATCAGCTATAGAACCGAACCCGTTCGATCCAATGCCAGAATAATAACTAGACTTTTCTTCATATGGATAAAAATGAATCTTGATGTTCACATGATAAACGCCAGTATAAGTATCATCAACAAGGTTGCCCATATAAACAGCAAGAATCTGATCACTACCCATCAGCAATGGGTAATACCTGGTAATGTCCTTCTTAACTGTCCACACAATACCCGTAGCTCTAGGCTCGGCGGTGCAGCTGCGGAGGATCTCAACCCCGCCGAGCCAGACCCCAAAGATCCGGTCAAATTGCCTGCCTTTAGAGGTGGCTTCCCATTCAAGAACAATTTTAGAGAAGTTCTGGGATGGGCAATTCGAAGGGGGCGTGTAGTTTGCAAGAACAGGCGGCTTCCCATAGGTATATGCGAAATCATGTTGGAGAAGTAGGTATGAGCAAGGCTTGGTGTTTGGGACTTTTATGGGCTTAGTGACTTCGAAGTAGGTAGTCAGGGACTCATTCTGGGAATGCTCTGGAAGGAGCTGCGATCTGAATAGCGAGGCGGAGCTGTGGAGGCTTGCGGCGGAATACAGAGGTTGAAGGAGGAAGAGAACAGAGAAGTGGAGGGAGAAGAAAGCCATGATTGATGGATGGAGTCAGAGTAGTGTCCTACTAAAGTACAGTATTATCAAGTTGAGGTTGTTTAGAAAACCAAGACACTCCACTCCGTAATATTTATGTCGAGGATATTTATGTTATATCAGGAGTAAAATACGGTGGGATTGTGTTTCTTCTTTAAAGAAAGGATAATATAAATATATAATCATCTCCCTCTATGAATTACTGAATTTTATATGCATTTTTTTTAAAGACTCAATTTTTTATATAGAAATGGCTTTAGGTAGGACTAAAAATTACTAGGACTACTACATTTTACAGGGAATAAACATTGATTTCTACCCTAAATACCCATAAACATTGCAATTTTTACTCATTATTTTAATTTTTCAAGAGCTACTAGTGAGTATATAAATGTGATATGTAATAGAGGAAATTCTTGAAATAGGAGAAAAAATGTTTTAGTAACCAAAATAGGCCTGACATGCTTTTATTTCCTAAATAGAACTAATTAGTGCAAAGCTTGGAAAGTACTGCTACGTTCCATGTTTAGTACTGACAAAACATGATAGTAGTTACTCTTATTTAGTGAATACAAACATGAGAATCCTATTTTGGAAATACACAAACGTTTTTAGTCCTATTTAGAGCAATTTTACTATGTAATAACATCATAGAATAAACATCATATTTTAAATTTCCCAATAAAATATAAAAAGTTCTATAACTCACAAATAATGGGTATACTAATATACATATTCATATAGCTACAAAGGATGAAAAAGCAGTTCAATGATAAAATAATAATAAAATAATAGAATTAGAATAATTTATAGTGACAAAAACATTAGTAATATTAATAACAGCAACAATAACAGTAATTTAATAAGAGTTTTTTTTCAAAAATACTACTTGAAAAAAATCTATTTATGAAAATATATTAAACATTAATCCGTACTAAATTATAATGTGATTTCACTTAATGAAAAAATTGAACAATCATTAATGGGCTAGGTCATATTTTTGTAAACAATATCTATTTTATTCATTAATATCTAATTATGTTTAATAATGATGATTAATATTCCATCATGAATGATAATGAAAAGAATAGTCAATTGCAATTTATATAACTGAACAAGTTTAAATCTTTACAATTGATGATTGGGCAATTCTACATTACCAAGCTAGAAATTTTCCCTTTTTGCTTTCATCTCAAAACTAGAAATTCTCATTAGCTACCGTAAAGGCGGCGCAATCGAGTCTTAAGCCTTGGAAGCCTAGGCGGGTTTATGCAAAGCCTAGTCAATTGCAGTCAAATGATTTTTTGAAATATACTGCGTTGTTTAAGGATGTTTTTACTTGGACTGTAATTTGCAAGTCTAGTCTGATCTGATCTGGTCTGAACTGGTCTGGTCTGGTCTGGTAATGTGTGGTTTCTTTGTATTTTTATAACTATCCAAGTCTGGACTGGTCTAGTCTAGTCTGGTCTGGGATAGATTACAGTCCAAGTAAAAACATCATAACTGCGCAATTATCTTCAAAAATTCATTTGTCTGCTTTCCCGATTGAATTTTTAACTCAAATTTGGTATGAGTAACTAGACTTAATGAAGATGTTCAAAATATATCATCAAAAAATTCTATCGGTAACCGCCTCAAATGGCGATATGATGGCCGGACCGAGCCTCCAATATAAGAGGTGATTTGCACATTTTAAATTAGTTTGAGGGCTCATTTGCTACTTTTCCCCTTAAAAATTGGTTTTCCGAATTGTTGATACCGAATGGTGTAAAATATAATAAAGGAGCATATAACACTAATTAAGCAATTTTCAAAAAAAAAACATTAATTAAGCATAACAGTTCCTAACTTTATCATAAACTAATAAAATAGTGAAAATAAACTCCACTTCAAAATAGCCTGGTCGGAAAGTCGGTCATACATAAAGGCTAGTAAAAAAACGTACAAAAAATATCATATAGAAAAGGAAAAATTGACAAGTATTATATCATCATTAAGCGAGTTTTTTTTAGAATAATCTCACATTTATGTAATCCAAAAATAATCCCGCATTTACATCTCATCTTCTTTGGTTGTTCTGTTATCGCCTCATCGGTTGATCACCTGGTATATCAAGTTTTTTGACATTTGTTTAGAAAGAATACATAAATAAACTCATCTTTCATCAATCTTCTCAAAACAACCTCATATAATTAAATAAGGTAATTTGAGTATATTTTGATAAATTAATTTAATATGTATGTAATATAACGAGGTTAGAATCGATAATTGTGATGTTATAAATATATTATTTTAAGTATTTTATGATTCAATTGTCATTTAAGATTGTTAATTGTTTCTTAAAATATAAATGAGAACTTTTATATGACACATCCAATAAAAGGAATTGATAACCTTTCTACGGGACGAAAGTATCTCTTTTCCTTTTTCTCACTAGAAATTTCCCCTTTTTCTTTATCATCTCAAAACTTTTTTCTCCGTTAAATTTTCAATTGATTTTCTTTTGAATATCTTTATGCCGCATTACTCCTTATAATTACATTTTTTATTTCAATTTTTTCTTTTTCTTTTCATTCTCCATTTTTCTTCCGTTTTTTTTTTCATTTGCCATCTTAGAAGCCATGCATTGTACTACCTGCCCAATGGGTAGTACAACGACTGATAATCTCTACATATAATTATCGCTCAAGAATCATACAACTGCTTCAACAGTTGGACAACAAAGGATAAAATATCCAAATGAAATGGATCGAGGAGAGAGCAAGACTAGTTTTCATTATTATTGAAATGGATTTGTAATATAAATGTTTGAATTATTAATCAGATAAAATCATAATCAGATAAAATTTTAATCCTTTTTTTAGCAAAAGATAAAGCTTAATCAGTTAAAATTTAGTCAACCATCCAACTTAATTCCGATCTACCCACCAATATAATCAAAGGGCTAGTTGGTAAAGATAAATCATAATTAAAAGACCTTTTGAATTAGGGGTGGTGGGTATTGGCAAATAATATACTCCCTCCGATTTTATTTAATCTTCACACTTTGACTTCACACAAAATAAGGAAAGAAATTTGACTTTACTGTAGAGTACACTGTTGATGCACTGTTTGACATTGTTTGGCACTTGTTGAGGTTTATTCCTTCAACCCTTGGACCCAACACGTAAGCCCAAAGATTTCGAGTGGAGTGTGTGGATATCTAGCCCAACAACTTTCAGATGGATCAGGAAACAAGAGAAATAGCAGGCAATGTAAATAGGTATTATTAACTCCGTAATAACTCCCCTAAATACAATCTACTTGCTAAAAAGGCACGTCGGCCGTTCGTCTTACAAGGCACTTAGAAATGCTGCAAGTAAGAATGCTGAAGCTAGTATGCTAAGAATAGAAAGTTGCCAACCCTTTACAATGAAGTAAATGCTTCTATTTATACCCGCCAATGGGCAGGTGGCTGTAGTGACGTGGCAGCCTGTGGACCGCTGGTGTCCCAACTACCAAATCTTTAGCATTAAATGCACTTCCCGCCAGAATCTAGGTTTCCCGCCGGATCAGTGGGGACGTTCGTCCACCCAGGAAGTGAGTTGGATCGCTCCAAATGACCCTAAGGTGATACCGGCTGTTCGTCTCCTGGCCTTGATAGATACTCACCATGTGGACTGGGTTTCCTCCGATGGCCCTGGTGGCCCGTGGTTCTGCTCCTTGTCCCTGCATAGACGTTCGTCGGGATGAGCTGCTGGGCCTGAGCCCCCCAACACCAGACGTTCGTCCATCCTCAAGGAATATGGGCCTGTGGGCTGGCCTAGTGCTCTAACCGGACGTTCGTCTGGCAAAATGGGTTAGTGGGCCGGACCTCGGCTTGGGCCCTTAACCCAACACAAGTCCCCCACTTCTGATGTTCTGAGCATGCGCAGGACATAAGGAAGTATGAACCTCCCCGAAGCAGATGTCCGTATCCTGGTACTTGTGTTTATTGCACCTGGTGGAAGCGTACGTTCGTGGTCCTGGTGCTTGACAGCTGTTGACGGTTCAGGAAACGAGGTGACGGCTGATGTTGCGGCGGCGCATTTTCCCGAGGAAGTGTCATCATTACGTTCCCATCCCACGCACAGCGCGTGGGCCGGAATACGCTCCTTGCCACGTGTCAGCCCCTCGTTGGTTTCTCCATCGGTGTTTCTCCTATAAATGCTGGGTTTTCCCTCTGAATTAGGGTTCCCAATTTATGCTCTCTTGCTCTCGATCTTCCGCAGCTCTTCAAGTCTCCTGAATTCGGCTAACCCCTTTGTAAGGTAATTTCCCCCCTTTGCTTCTTTTCTTTACTCTGATTTCTAGTCGGAATGACTTCGATGGAGATCTCCTCAAGTTCTGATTCCAGTTCGTCGGGTTCCCCCTCGGGCTCCTCTTCTGAAAATGCGAATGCACGCTCCCTGGGCAAAACTAGTGTTTCTGGGAACTCGGGTTCGGCCACGACGGTGGGAACCATCCGGGCTGATGGTGAGCCGGGTAGTGCTTCCCGAGGTAGTGGGAGCAGCGGCAGGGGTGGGGATGCCGATGAGGCAGTGGACGTTATCGATGCGGTCCCCCTGAATGAGCGTCCTGCTGATTATGATTCTGGAGAGGAAGCCGAATCTGGTTCTGATATGGAGGTGTACGATCTGGGCATCCCCACAGATATGGAGCGCCACATCTGCCCGATCAGGAGCGCCCTTGACCACGACCAAGTCCTCTCCCGCGTGGCCCTCAATAAAATCCGTACCTTCCTTCCTCCACCGTTCGTCTGGAGTGTGAGAGGCGCTGAGCATGTGATGAGGAGACGTCCGGGGATGATCATGCTTCACCTGGATTCCGTTGAAGCCGGGCTGCGGTTTCCACTTCATGCGTTCTATGTGGAGTTCTTCCACTGTTTCCAGGTGGCCCCGGCGCAATTCATGCCAAATTCTTATAGGTTCATTTCGGCCTTCTTGGTGCGCTGCAAACTTGCAGGGGTCGATGCCACTCTGGAGCTCTTCCACTATTTCTACCGCGTCACTCCCCAGAATGCCGACGGGTATCTGAGCGTGGCCGCACGTCCTGGGAGGCGGCTGTTCAAGAGCTACCCCTCGTCCATCCACGACTGGAAGAACCGCTTCT